CTTGGGGCCAAAACCGGCGAATAACAAAATGAACATTTGCGGGGTGGGAAGTACCGGAAAGCGCCGAAATTTTGGGTAATCCAGTTTAGAGTACACACATAAAAGGGCTCCTCATTACGCACAGATGTGAGTTCATTACGCAATAAACCTGCAGATTACCCCCTTTAAGTTTTGGTGTTGTGCGCGAGCCTACTCTTTAAAATTTAAATTTCATTTCTGGGGTTTGCCTACGCTTTAAAACACATAGGTGTGGTGTGCGTCTGGTGAGCATCATTCCTTCCTTTTTCTGTCGCGAAGCCGAGTCAATGATATGACAATTGATAATATTTCACACACACATACACGGCGCGGCAGTCACTTTTTGTCAGACACTACAAGCTGTCGACCTACTTATCAGGTGCGCAGTTTCTGGCAACACACACACACACACATATACACACACACAGAGCGCATATAGACACCCATAGAAAAATTTTAAGTCAGCTTGACAGTCACTCTGGTGATTTGTCATTGATCCTAATTTTTCCACCAGAGATCCTGACTTTTAGATTTCATAGAGTGGCAGGTCTGCCCCCATCCTTCTTTAACACTAGTAAACACATGAATTGTCCACCGTAAATTTTTTTTTTTTTAAACAAGAAAGACTGGAATGCGAACTCTGGGATGGCTCTGAAAATAATGAATCAGTTTATTTTCTTTGTGTATTACAGTCGGAATTGATGCCTTTTGGTTTGTCAACTTCATTTGATTTTTTATTGACCCAACCACCACCCCCCCCTTCCCCTCCAAGTAAACACAACTCTAATTCTAGTCAATATTACTTATTTCTTATTTTTACTTTGAAACCTTACAGTTAATTAAAAATCGTTAGCTTTCAATCTTACTCATGGTCATTCTGTGTGTGTCTGTGTGAATATGCATGTAAGTTAAATGTTTGCATGCACAAATTCTTCTATAAAATTAGGAGATAATTTACTTTTGAGGATGAGTTTTTCAGACATCCAACAACCCTTTAAGTTTCTAAAACAAAGGTTTAAATTCCCCTGAAGATAGAATACCAAAGGATGAAGGAACCTCTTATGTTGGCCTGAGAAGGGGAGCCCTGACATAGACTCTAGATATCTAATCTATCTAGTCCTAACCCGAACCGTACTCGTACTTTCCAGCCTACTCCCTCTACCCCTACGTTAGGGCTGTACCCTGGTAGCAAACCCGCTCGTGCTCACAAGCCCCTAGTTCAAGTCACAAGCCTCAAATCACTAGGTCAAAATATCATCAAATCAAATCACTAGCATGATAAGTTGAGTCTAGCGCAAACTGTAACCTCCTTGGTCTAGTCTAAACTTCAAGTCCACAGCAACTAGCAATCCGCGAAGCCACTCGTGTCAGGCCCCCTCATCATCCCCACCCTGCTTGCAATCCGCGAAGCCACTTACGTCAGAAAAAGAGAGAGGGGGAGAGTGAGAGATCTCGCCCACAGAGTCACTGCGCGGCGTGGCGCTGTAGTTTACTCGATTAATCGAAGGCCTGCGCAAGCCTCAAGTCCCGACCGCAGCCACAGGCCCCACAATTCACACAGTACTGATTTGCGCTAGGCCTAGAGATTTGCCCCAGGACAAGCTCGAAACCTGACCTGCTGACTTGTACTGTCTCGATACACCAAGCGAGCGGCACGCCGCGGTACAGCTTGATGGCGTAGGACAGCTCGATGGCGACAAGACAGCTCGATGTGTTCAAACAGCAAGTACTGCTCGTTGTGTGAACTTTGAACCGTGGAGGAAGGGAGAGGCTGGGCTTGTTTTGGTGCAAGGCGTAGAGAGCTGGTTATTTTTAACTTCCCGCCGTTGATCAGCTTAGCGAATGGATAAGTGAGAGAGAGCGTGGTATTGTAGTAACAGAGACCTAGGTTTCTGGTAGTAATAAGAATAAGTTGACTTAGATTACCCTAAAATGGAAAACTCCAGGGGTCGTTGTGATTGGCTTTTGTATCGTATGTATGTAACCTATTTTGTAGATGTGTTACACTCACAGTGACATAATACAGAACACTTAGGAGACGGGCTAGGCCTACTTCAACCCAATGTCAGGGCCAACCTGGGCTGAGAGGGAACAACGCCCAAGCAGAAAGACGGAGGTTCTCAGTAAAAATTGTTCCCCATACGGGAATCGAACTGAGGTCTTTTGCGTGCAACGATAAAGCGCTTGGCTCGTGCACATTAAAAATAAACAGGCCTTAACATCATAAGAATAGCCGATCCAATATTAATTTTTAAGTGCATTGAATAGATCTTTTTGTTTTTTTACAACCGAACTATGAAAAAACCCCAACCAATCTTGCACTTTTGGTGCAAGCCTCTCAACGCAAATAACCAGAGAATCTTCTGTAATATGTACTGAGCCCACTGCCACGAGAGTTCGCGACGTCACGACACAGTACAGCAGGACTGTCCGCGAGTCACAACTCACCGGAAGTTCCCTCCGGTAGCAAGCGGGAGGCAAATCAAATCACAAGCCTGCTCGCAAGCCTCTAGCGTAAGACGTCCGCTGCTTTGCAAGCCTTCGATTAACCGAGCAGAATCCAGCCCTACCCTACGTACCCCTCCTGACCCCAACCCAGAATTAAGATTGATATACTGGTGGTAGTAGATCTAGTAGGCTTTGGGGTTTTTTTTCAGGCCAATGGAGATGGCTGGAAATTCTATTGTTACAAAACAGTATAAATAATTAATTTTGTTGGTCTGAAAAACGAATTAAATGTGTAATCTGATATAATATATATATATATATATATATATATATATATATAATATATATATATATTATATGTAGAGAGAGAGAGAGAGAATGAGAGTAATAATAATTATAATAATAGAAAGCATTTGTATAGCGTATATCCCCGCTCAACAGCAGGCTCTATGCGCTTTACACTATATTATTACCCCAGCAGACCATAGAACACTCCGAAGCATTCTCAGCTTTCCGGGAAGCATACAGTGCAAGCAGCCGATTAAGCGCTCAAACACTAACAAACTGACAAGATCTTTCGCTGTCTATAGCCGGGTACCCATTCCCACCTGGGTGAAGTGAGGAAAATTCGTGTAAAGTGCCTTTCCCAAGGACACAACGTCGGGTCCTTGACGGGATTTGAACCCACGACCTTACGGTTGCGAGTCCGAGAGCCTAACCACTAGGCCACTGAGTGAGAGCACAGGAGAAAGAGAAAGGGAGATTTGCATTTTTAAAGCACTAGACCTGCGTTGTAACAGATTATAAAATATTCATGTTCGCACAAAGTCTGTGCTAAGATGCAGGACTGGGTGTCCTGCATTTTATCATGACATGTTTTTTAATTTATAAAAACCAGACAAATGTGTCCATGAGACTGGTCATGAGCCACGTATATATATGTGAGGCAGCGTGGTGGAATCAGGCTCTCGTCAAAATAATCAAAATGAAGAAACTTGCATTTTTCCACAGGTTTGTGAATTTTTATTAAATTTTTGTGTTTTGGCTCAACACCTTTCATGCCCATTAAAGAACTCATTTCTGTGTTAATTTTTCTGAAAAACGTTGATTCAAGGTACTAAAAATGTAAATTTTTAGTTACCACGGACTCTTAAGCTAAGGGAATAAATAATCTTTGGCGGCCATTTTCTCTCTAATTTTACCTCTGAAAACAGGTGACCCCTACCCCCTTCTTTCGCAAATATCTCGACTTGTATTCAAGATAAATGGATATTTTTTCATCCAAATAAAGACAAGTGAACAAGCTTTAAGATGACACCAGTAGCTCTACATGCCCAAAAATTGACGAGAGCCTGTTTCCACCGCGCTGTTTAACATATATACAAGGCGTACATTTGCTTGCAGCAGTGTGAACTTCTTCTTTCTGTTCCCACGGCTGGCACAAAAGTGCAGGCATGAAACATCGTGATACATGTAAAAGAGCAATGAGTCACTGAGTGCACTTGATCGAGATGTTGAGATATAGTTGAATCTATGTAGGCCTAAGTACTTCTAAGCTAAACACAAGTACCTTCTTGAAATAGTGTTTGATGTGTTCACTGGCAGCCGACTGTCCATTGTTCCCGCACTTTTTTGACGGATTGCAGATCGAGATAGATAAGGGAGTCCTGTCACCACCACGTGCATTCTGAAAACGCCTGGATGCCAGACGTAATCTTGTAATAGAAGTAGAGTAATGTGCTTATAAATAAAATGTATTGCAAAGTCAGCAAGAGTTTGTTTTAAAGTAAGAGACAACACATCATCTCCCATGTCACTTCCCCTGATGCTTATGGTAGGTGTGGCTCACTAAGTTGGAGGGAGTTGGGGGGAAAAACTGCTGTCCCTAGATAGAGCTGTGTATCTGACAAAATTAAGTTTTTTGGTTTTATTGGTTTATAATAATACTTGTAGTCGCACATTGTTTTTATGTGAAAGGCAAGATGACATATCTAATTTACATGATCTAAAATAATAGTTTTTAAAGTGGTGAAATATATATATTTCTGTATGGAAGTGACTGATCTCAATAATAAAAGTCTTGCACTGTTGTTGTGTTTTTATCAAAATGATGAAATGTGCAGTGATGGTGTTCTGCCTCTTGGTGGCAGAATACCAGGCACTCGTGGCTATAGAGATATAGGATTTTGACAAACATTTTTGGTATGGTCTCAATTTCCAGTCCCATTCTGAGATTTCTGTCAATTAAAATCAACATTTGTGTGTGTTTCACTAAAGTTAAAGCAGTGCATTTTTACGGCTCGATATTTTTCTACTCCTTTGTAATAGGCCAACATGATTTTTCTTAATGGGTTGAGATTTTGAATGTTTCCTTAATTCTCTGGACAAGTTAGCCAAGCCAAAAAAATAAATTGTTTTAAGTTGCTGCACATTACAAGACTTATAAACAGACATCTAAAGTTGCTTTCAGCCAACAAATTGTGGTGGTCAATTTTGTGCATGTTGTCCTCCAATCTAGTACCTTTGTACTAAATAATTCAGTTGATGGAGAATGCTGTCGTGTTATGATTGTGATATGAGGTTTTCTTTCTCATTGAAAAATTAGGTTGGAGCATTTCTAATTTGTAATAGAAATATTACACATATTCTTTCCTTTGATATTTTGTGTACCCGACTCACTACGGATGTGTTGAAGATGTTTGAACTTGAAGTACTACTTATTCCTACTTTTCAGTAAAGAAATGCAAGAAAATGTCTCTTATTTTTCATTTTTAGATTTTGTGTTTTTTTTAGTTTGTATTGTTTTTTAAAATGTTTTTATTAAACTCCCTTCCTTCTTTACTTTGTATGCTTTTCTCAAGTAACAGCTCTAATCTCTTGCACTTATTTGACCTATTTGTGTTGCAAATGCTGTAAAGCCTAACTTAAAGTATACTAATACTCTGGGAGAAATCCCTCCCTTTTTGTGAGGAGGTATCATGTTTTGTGTGAAGACTCTGAGAAGCAAGGGAGCAGTTACCTTTGGTCACGGTTGTAAGCACACACTGGGCAGAACTTGTAACCTGATGCTTTCTATTGCTGTGCTTTCTGTACAGCTGAACTGTGGCCTGTAAACAGAGACTTTATGTGGTACAGCCGGGTATCCCCATCTGAACTGGGAGGGGGGGGTGGGGGAACATGCTGCTGAGGTCAAATTGTCAGACAACCTTTGCTTTTTGGAAGCATCGTCACTGTTGGTGCTGTAGGAAGTTGAAAGTAGAGCTTATATATTTACTTTACAGTGATTGTAAGGCACTTTACACAAATTTTCCTCACTTCACACAGGTGGGAATGGGTACCCGGCCTTAGACAGCGAAAGATCTTGTCAGTATGTTAGTGTTTTAGCGCCTATAAACGGCTGCTTGCACTGCATGCTTCCCAGGAAGTTGAGGTTGTTTCAGAATGCTCTCAGGTCTGCTGGGGTAATAGTATAGATTGTGAAGCGCATAGAGCTTGCTATTGAGTGGGGATTTGTGCAATACAAATGCTATCTAGTATTATTATTATTATTGTCCTGTCTCAGTGTGCTGTGTCTGTGACTTCAGCAAATTTCTCTTCTAACCTTTCTCTGCCAGACCTGTTTTTTAGTCTTGCCAAGAAGTTTAGACAGTCTCGTGTGATGCAATGAGGGGGTTAAAAAGTAGAGACTAGAATCATGTTACTTTTTGGTGAAGCTTTTGTTGTATATATAAGCCCTGCAACTTTTGTTGGAGTAAAACGCTCCTTTTGTTTCTTTCGTGATACCTCTGTTTTCAGTTATTGCTCATTCTGACTTTTATCTTTTACAGCATCTGTGCAAGAATGATGTTTTTCTGAGGACTAGGCTGAAACAACATCAAGATTGATATATGGTCAGACTTCCATTTGAATAAATCTAGTGGACTAGTAGTGAGATATAAGCAAAGATGAAGTTTGCGGAACATCTTGGCGCCCACATCACCCCTGAGTGGAGGAAACAGTACATCCAGTATGAGGTGAGAGAGCTTCTCCCACAGATAATTCTGCATAATTTTTTTCGCTGCTGTTGCTATGTTTTTGGTTGTTGGGTTTTTTTTCTTCTGATTATACAGTTAAAACAGTCTTTCCAACTGTCCCAAATTTTCCAGGATTGTTTCAGATTTGGCAGTTGTGGGATCTGAAAAGACGTTTTCTACACTACATCAAGTTCAGTCTCACTGGATGCCATTTTTGGGCGTTGTTGCGTAATCCGATGTCACGACACTAAGTGTCCCTGACTGGGTTTGCAAGTCTGATGATAATTAATGATAATTACTGGCGTCTGATGTGAAGGGGTTAGGCTCTTCACTATGGCATACAGGATCAGGAGACCAGGGTTCAATTCCCAATCGGGTCCGGGAGAAATTTTTATCAAGTATATTGGTCTTTCTGCAGGGATGTATCCCTCTCAGCCCTTGACAGGTAGGTTGGAAGCCCGCCTCCTAAATGATCTAAATTGTGTTGATGGGGCAATGGGGTGTAAAACTCATTCATTTCACTTAAAATAAACATAATTGCATTTATATCTAAAAAAGGACACTGCATAGGAGAGAACAGTGGCTGGAAAACCACCACCAACAAACTTTAAAGCTGTTCCAGATGGTCTGTCACTGACCTAAGGAGCCATTATGATATTAATTAATTTATATCTCTCTATAAATGCAATTACCATTATTGTTTTCTTGTAATTTTCTTATTGCTATGCTCTTTTTTAAGGATTTCGACTCCTGTCCCTGAATCTGAGCTGATTTTGGAAAATGGATCTTGTATGACATGCTCATAATTTGAGAGAAAACTTTTCCCCCCGTATAACTGCCCTTTTTTTAAATTGCAGATTTTTTAAATGTTAAGTATCGGTTCCGGAGCTGTGTATGTTGTCAGAGTAGTCATGGTTCTTTTGCAGTAAGAGGGGTGTGCCCAGACCTTGAAACGGTGTGCAGTCTTTCTTATGTTAGGAAATACTTTCTCCACTGAAGAGGCATTTCAAATTACAGTGCTCATTACGGTTTGAAAAGCGTTTTCTTATATTATAATTAGGCCACCTATTTTAGGAAATGCAAATTGGCCCTTTATGTAAGTTTGTGTCCATTGGTAATAATAGCAATGATGTAGATGATTTTTTATAGTAGTGCCTTCAAGTGTGGGAATACAACTTTTGATGCTTTATAACAGATGCAAATGCAAGTTCATAAATGAACAAGACTGTACTTTCTGTGAAATACTAATCTCTGCTCATATGCACACCCAGAAGAAATAACGCACACCTACACACACACACTCGCACACTCTCACATACACAAATACACAAACACATGCACGCACACACACACGCACACTCTCACACACACAAATACTCAAATACACACACACTCGCACACACACACACATACACACACACACACACACACACACACACACACACACACACACACACACGTATACACATAACACATACTCAAACACACACACACACTCACACACACCTTCTCTCTCGTCATACACACACACGCATACACTTCATTATGAGTGAGCACATGCAAATACATAATAATATACAATATAGATCTACACTATATGAAATACTCAATACATATTCATTGGTCTTTCTGACACCCCAATGCTCACCTTCTACTAGGTACTCAGAGTACTCGTGTTCTTTGTTAACCCTTCCAGCCCCAGCCATTTTTGTGCACTCCCTGACCACAGTCCCAGCCAATACAACGGTATTTCAGAAAAAGAGGCATGCATTGTAAAAAGCAGTATAGTATCTTTGTAATGAAGAGTAGATAATAAGATATAACAATGTTTAAAGGTAAATGAACCAATATTATGAAAATTAAAGTTTAATTAGGTTCGCTAATTTAGAAAAATGTGCAAATTTGGTACCCTGCGAAACTGAGGATATACACTCTTGGGATGGTGGGAGGTACAAGCACTGCTGAAAATATACGCGAATTGGGCTTAAAGGGTTAGTAACTTCTTTTTTACTTGATGTTTACTAGAAAAAATGTAGAGGAGACTGTTGTATTTGGTATTTTTTCTTTTTCTCTCAATCTCAGTTGATGAAAGAAATGCTGTACGATGCGCAAGAGCAGGCTCCTTCTGCAGAGGGTGAGAATTTGTGTGTGTGTGTGTGTGCGTGTGTGTGTGTGTGTGTGTGTGTGTATGTGTGTGTGTGTGTGTGTGTGTGTGTATGTGTGTGTGTGTGTGTGTTTAAAACAAATCAGTTGTGCCTTAGTGTATTTGGTATCGGTGGCCTAGTGGTTAGGCTCTCGGACTCGCAACCGTAAGGTCGTGGGTTCGAATCCCGTCAGGGACCCGACGTTGTGTTCTTGGGAAAAGCACTTTACACGAATTTTCCTCACTTCACCCAGGTGGGAATGGGTACCCGGCTATAGACAGCGAAAGATCTTGTCAGTTTGTTAGTGTTTGTGCGCTTAATCAGCTGCTTGCACTGTATGCTTCCAGGGAAGCTGAGAATATTTCGGAGTGTTCTATGATCTGCTGGGGTAATAATATAGTGTAAAGCGCATAGAGCCTGCTGTTGAGCGGGGATATGCGCTATACAAATGCTATTTATTATTATTATTATTATTATGTGAGCATTTGGGAACATGATTGTTTTTTTGTGTATGTAGATGGGTGCACTTGGGGAAAAAGTTAGGAGAGTGATAAACAGGTAGACGGATAGTGATAAACCGGCAGACGGATGGACAGATGAATGGATGGACAGATAGGCAGACAGACATACACAGACAGACTCACTGACAGACAGGCTGATCTTGTTATGGCTCACGTGTGTCATGACATATTGTTGTGTGTGTCTTGTTCTATTCTGCTCTGTGTGTTTACCGTATTTCTTTTTGCTTTTTTACTTTGTATTCTGGAGTGCTTCTTCTACTTCTCTTGGGTGTTGCTATTTTCTCAACTGGTTCTTTCATTCTTGGTACCAACTGAAGACAAGCTTGTGGGTGATTGGCGGGTGCTCTGGTGTGGTTTGCTCCTTCTTTCCTATCAAACATCTATCGTCCTTTTCTCTCCTCCTTATTGTGTATGTTACTCTCTTGTAACACGTCTATTCTTCGGCACTTATATGACCTTATTGTGTTGCAAGTGCCGTAAAATGCTTACTAAAACTAAAACAAAAGACAAGCTAGAACTAGAACACAATGTCAGCAATGATATTCAGGGATGCCAAATCTCAGGTTTTTCTGGCTTTTTCAGTTGTTTTTTTTTTTTTCAAAAATCAGTTGGCATCCCTGAAGAACAAGGCCACTGACATAAGGTCGTTCTTCTCAAGACAGATATAATATTACCTGAATTGATGAAACAAAGTTCCCATACCTTTGCAAAGGAAAGGGGGTAGGTAAGAGAGATGTTTTTGTGTGCTCATTTGAAAACTTTACAAGGTTTGTGTGAGGTGAGGTGTGATGCTCCCCTCAATTTCAGGGTTTTTTAATAAAAAATCTTTTGGCATCCCTGGATATTGCTAACAATGGATACAATTGATATATAGTGAGGAATTCAAGTATCAGGTAGAAGAGGAGGAGAATTCCTGGACTGAACAGATTTTTAAAAGTATATGAAAAGCTGCTGAAAAAGATTTCGCTCTGTTTGTTATAGTATTAGCTGTTGCTGTTTTTATGTTGAGACATTTGTAATGTTTTTTTTGGTTAAAATACTTTTCAGTGACTGACTCAAACACAATACAGCGCTACTTTGCCAGGTTTGCGGAAAAGTTTTTTCAGTTTTGTGATACTGAGCTGTCGAAAATCAACACCTTCTTCCTAGGTGAGTCCAACTCTTAGATTATTATTTGAATAATGTTATTTGGTTTAAACTTTGTTTCCAGAGATGAATGCAAATGAAAACTTTTGACTTTGTGCACATTGTTTATGTAGAGAGTGTTGGTAAAAAAACATTCTAGGTGGTGATGTTGTGCATGAGTTCAGTGAACTATATCGTGTTTTTCAAACAGGGTTCCTGCAGCCTCCTTGAATTCAAGGAGTCCTCGAATTTACATTCAAGGAAAAATCTCCTTGAAAACTACTTGAATTTGAAGAACCTCCTTGAATACTCCTTGAATTTTGCCAAATTGGACATGAACAAAGTTTTTGTTTTAAATCGAAACTATGATTCCTTTCGGACAAATTATGCTTATCGGAAATAGACTTTGGGCATGAATTTCTTGACCAAATCTCCTTGAATTTTTAAAATTTATCCTTGAAACCTCCTTGAAATCTCCTTGAATGTGGTGGGAAGTTCATGGCAGGAACCCTGTATTCAAAGATATTTGTGTAGTCCTTTTTTCACTCTCACCGTATTCAATCCTCTTCGTGTGTCTGGCTGATTCATGTGGCGTAAATTTAGTATACCGTCTATGAGCTGTGTTGAACTGTTACATGCTTAGAAAGCAACATTTTTCAGAAGAGAAAAAAAAGTGTTTCATTCTTTGTAAAATTATATGAATAATGTATGTTTTCTTGCTTTTTTTTTCTATATTTAAAATTTGAATTTCTAGAAAATATTTCTCGAGCACATGCAGTGGATACTACAGATTAAGAAACTGCAATTAAAGAAAAATACAAATCTTTAGCTTAATAAATTTGAAGAGTTCACTGATTATGTATTTTGGAAAAATATAGTTTCGTAGGTTTACTGGCAATCATTCTAACAGATACTGTCTAGTGAACACTCTCCTGGATGAGGTTGTTTATGAAACAATGTTGTATGTCAATCATCGGAGAAACTGTTAGAGAGATGATGATGAAAAGTAGTGGTACGTTTGTCAACAGAGAAACTGTTAGAGAGGTGATCCTAGAATATTGTTCTACGTTTATCAAAGGAGAAACTGTTAGAAAAGTGATCCTAAAATATTGATAAATATGTTCATCAATGGAGAAATTGTTAGAGAGGTGATCTTGGAATATTGTAATACGCTCATCAATGGAGAAACTGTTAGAGAGGTGGTCCTAGAATATTGTTCTACGTTCATCAATGGAGAAACTGTTAGAGAGGTGATTATGAAACCTTGTGGTACGTTGATCAACAGAGAAACTGTCAGAGGCCAACAGGAAGTACGCCAACTTGAAGGCGGAGCTGCAGGTGTTCCTGACACACCACCAGCACCACCAGCGACACACACAGCTACGACGACGTCGCACCAGCGTGGCCAACTTACAGCTCTTCAAGGTCAGCCTCTGTTTGTTTGTTTCTCTGACAAATTATATTTTGAAAAAATGTAAAAAATAGATTTGTTTTTCTGACCAAAAAAAAAAAAATCTTAAAATAGATCTGTAAATTACATTTTATTGATTTGATGGGGGAAATTTTGATAACAAATGCGAACATATGTACATAAACACATAATTAAACACACAGATACACAAGCAAAAATACCAAATGTGAGGCGGCGTGGTGGAATCAGGCTCTCGTCAAAATAATCAAAGTGAAGAAACTTGCATTTTTCGGCAGGTTTGTGAATTTTTATCAATTTTTTAATTTTTTGCTCAACACCTTTCATGCCCTTTTAAGAACTCATTTCTCTGTGGATTTTTCGGAAAAACATTGATTAAAGACACAAAAAATGTAAATTTTCAGTTACCACGGACTCTTATACTAAGGAAATAACTAATCTTTGGCGGCCATTTTCTCACTAATTTCACCTCTGAAAATAGGTGACCCCCACCTCCTTCATTCGCAAATATCTCGACTTGTATTTAAGATAAATGGATATTTTTTTCATCCAAGTAAAGACAAGTGAACAAGCTTTAAGATGATACCAATAACTCTACATGCCCAAATATTGACGAGAGCCTGATTCCACCACACTGCCTCACAAATACTCAATATTACAGCAAGACAGAACAATGTCCCAAACATGCCTTGCTATTCACATCTGAGCAGCACCCTGATTTTTTTGGGGGGGGGGGGGGGGGGGGGGGGCTAGTGTTATAGTGTCTTGCTAAAGGACACACCGCAGTGATCACCCACCATTACCCCTATGATGTCACCAACCCCTTCTTGACTATATTTTTGAGTCATCCTGTTAGAGAGGTGGTCCTAGAATATCGTTATACATTCGTCAATGGCGAAACCATTAGTGAGTTTGCTGAGGGGTACAGAAAAACAGATAATAGTAAAAATAATAATACCAATAATAATGATAATATTAATACTAATAAAATAGCAATAATCAACAAAATAATAATCATCATAATAATAGATTAATCATATTATTGATAATGATAATAATAATAATAACAATAATAATAATAATATAACAATAATAACAACAATAAATTATACTAATGATGATATGATAAAAGACATAATAGATAGCGTTTATACTAATAAACTCACTACTCACTCGGCTACTTATATCTGTGGAGCAGGACAAAGAGGTGAAAGGTCAGGCCATGTCCTCCATGCGGAAGCTGCACGACCTGAAGCTGGCCTTCTCCGAGTTCTACCTGAGCCTGGTCCTACTGCAGAACTACCAGACGCTCAACTTCACCGGATTCCGGAAGATTCTCAAGAAGCACGACAAGGTGAGTGTGCTGCATGAGCTACTGTCATGTAGTCAAGTTTCCTCACTCACTTCTGTGTGTGTTTTCTCATTTCTCGTGCTCTGGCGGGGTTTTCTTCTTCTTGTCTGTCAAACATCTATTTGTGAGGCAGCGTGGTGAAGTCAGGCGCTCGTCAAAATAAAAAAATCGGAGAAACAGGCATTTTTCGATCAGTATGGAAATTTTGATCAATTGGTTTTTTTGTTTTTTGACTTAACCTCTTTTAAGTCCATATAAAAACACATTTCCACATGAATTCTACTACAAAACATTGATTTAAGGCATAAAATTTGTCATTTTTTAGTTTTCAAAGACTCTTTAGCTATTGGAGTTACCAAACTTTGGTGGCCATTTTCTCGCTAGTTTCACTACTGAAACCAGGCGACTTCACTTCCTTCAAACAGATATCTTGAGTTCTATTCGAGATAAATGAATATTTATTTCATTGGAAGCAAGGCAAATAAATCAGCTTTCACATGATATCGATAACTCCACATGCCCAAAAACTGACGAGCGCCTGATTCCACCACGACGTGACACATTTGTCTTTGTTTTTGTAGGAGTTTTACGGCGCTCGCAACTGCATAAGGTCATATGAGCGGCAGAATATTGGAAGTGTTACAAGACAGTAACAAACATAAAAAAAGAGGAAGGGGAGATAAGAACGATAGATGTCTTATTGGAAAGAAGAAGCAAACCACACCAGAGCACCCGCCAACCACCCACGACACATTTGTCTTTTTTTCCTTTATATGTTACTCTCTAGGCACACCTCCAATCTTCTGCACTAAATTGACCTTTTTGTGCGTTGTGCAAGGGCAGTAAATAGTAAAACCCTCACTAAAATTAAACTGAAACCTCTTTACTTTTTATGGTCATCATCATCATTGCCTTTCTCACCCTGCACCAGGGTATAGGCCACGGACAAACACTTTCCACCTTTCCCTATCCTGGGCTAGCCTCTTGATGTTATTCCATGTCTTCCCACTTTTCTGTACATCGATTTCTGTGATTCTTCTCCAGGTTCCATGCGGTCTTCCCCTTGATCTCTTACCCACTTTTTATGGCACTCTGTGGTAATTTCTCTAATCTTTGGCACTAATAATAGTGCCGCAAAACTCTTGACTAAAACAAAACAAAACTAAACTCGGCCAGTGTCTTTCAAGCATTCTCTTTTCCTTCCTGTGCCTCTCAGATGTTGCAGACGACCCACGGGGCAGAGTGGCGGCAGGCACACGTGGAGACTGCTCCGTTCTACACCAACAAGGAAGTGGACCATCTCATCAAGGATGTGGAGGTGCCGGTTTATGACCTGGTTTTTTTTTTCTAATAATAATAATTTAACTGTTTTTAAAATCAAAATTGAACCGTTTTCTCTTCGTATTAAAATTTCTAAGTTTTTTAAAATTAAATTTCTACTGTTTTAAAAAAATTATTTGTCAAAATTATACTGGTTTTTTTGCTTATCAAAACTTCACCTTAAAAGAATAAAAGAGTTTGCTGTCATTAGAGTGGATATCGGCTATTTAAACGCTATCTATTATTATTATTTTTATTGTTATTATTGTTATATTATTTTTATTATTATTATTATTATTATTATTATTATTATTATTATCAATAATAGGATTAATCTATTATTATTATTATTGATATTATTATTATGATTATTATTTTTTATTATTGCTATTTTATTATTATTATTATTATTATTATTATTATTGGTATTATTATTTTTATTATCATCTGATTTTCTGTACCTCTCAGCAAAGTGTGACCAGTGAGCTGGAGGGAGGTGACCGCTCCAAAGCCATGAAGAGACTCCGGGTGCCCCCTCTTGGTGATGAGGTAAAAGGCTGCAGTTCAAATTTTGAATTGTAGATTTTCTATGTTTTGTCCGTCCTTTGGAGAGCTGGTCAAGTAATTAAGATTTTCCAGTGTAAATTGTCCACGATGGCCACCCATTGCTAGGGAGGAAAGTGGTTGTCTGAGGCAAGTCTTTGACAGTGTCGTTATAATTCCACCCCCAATCCTGGGGTGGGGCTACTAACTGAAGTGTCTTTAGGCCGTTCCCAAAGGGGGAACATCAACCATGTTCTTATGCACAATCTCTCTCTCTCTCTTTCTTCTGGCATTGTGGGGTCATAAACGGTTAGCGATGCCGACAGCATGCAGGAACTCAACACTTGCCCCGGGGGTCCTTGAAAAGTGCTGAAAGTGGGTCACTGAAATGTCCCAGCAGGGTTGTTGAGGTCCTGGTGTTCCAGGTGGGTCGACGCATTCTGCAGCTGTCGTCTTGGTTTGTCGGTTGGTAACTGACATCCCTCGGCAACAGCTGGCGGGAGCGCCATCTTGCAGGCTTGTCATTCACTCCCTTGTGCACAGTAGAATTGTAATTGTAATTGGGCTGATTCATGCTATAATCAGCTCTCATAGTTCTCCTAATGGATGCCTTACCAAGATCTTTTGAATAAGTGTTAGGTTTCGTATTATGTCCAGAAAAAAAGTTTACAGTGGGTGGTTGGCGGGTGTTCGTTCTATTGAGGTTTTTTCATTTTTTCCTGTCAAACATCTCTTATCGTTATCTCTCCTCCTTCTTTTCTTATATTACCTTCTAGTAACACCTCTAATCTTCGACACTTAGATAATCTATTTGTCTGTCCCCTTGGTTTTATGTACCCCGCATAATTTAGCAAAATTTGATCATTTTTTACATAATTTCTGATTATTTTCCTATCATTCTTTGTTAAATCTAACAGAATCGCATAATTTCACATTTTTGGGCTCAGTTTGCATAATTTCAGAATTTTTCTTGCGTAAAACGACAGGGACCGATTTGTGTTGTTAGTGGCGTAAAACTGTTGGTAAAGCAAAGAACAGAAGGTTTTCCGGATCCAAATTTGATGTACTTACTTATTTCTGTACTTTTGTTTTTCCTCTCCAGCAACATCCGTGGACCAACTTCAAGATGGGTCTGTTCATCGGCATGTTTATGGTCCTGATCATTGTGATCATTGTGTCAGGTGAGATGGGTGGGTGTAGTGCTACATTACATTCTGAATTGTCTCTCGAGTTTATAAAGCAACAAATGGTTGGCGGGTGCTCTGGTGTGGTTTGCTCCTTTTTTCCTATCAAACATCTGTCGTTCTTTTCTCCCCTTCTTTTTTATGTTTGTTACTCTCTTGTAACACCTCTAACCTTCTGGCGCTCATATGACCTTATGCAGTTTCGAGCGCCGTAAAACCTTTACTAAAACTAAACTAACCAAGCAACAAACTATAATTTGCCTTACAAATGTTTATCATCTTTTATATTTTAACTCTTTGAACATGGGATTTTGAGCCTGTTTTCTTGGAATTGTTTTGGGGGGTTAGATTTTTACTCATTGAATACAGCCTTGCTAAACTGCTGTTCCTGGCCCAGGATATATAAGAATGTGTGAGGTGAGCTGACAAAATGAGTTACTTCTCGCTTTCCACAAATGGAGGTATTGGCCCAAAATCGACATTAAGGTCAAGTTTGTAGATTTTCTATTGATGCAATATACTTTAACTGTAACCTGTCTTTTATTATTTCATACTTATATATTGTAAAAGCCCCACCTATAAGTGAGGTGTATCTATTTCCTTAAGGCTTGAATCCGAGAAGTAACTCATTATGTCAGCACGCTTCACATGTAGTCGCGTCATACATCACATCAAATTTAGTTTGCATGCAGGAGGTGAAAATGTAGAAAGGTCTGGTGTGTTTCCAGTTGGTTGAAAATGTGGAAATCATGAATGTATGACTTCTCTTTGTTAAGCAAAAAGCTAGCAAAAAATGATGGAAGTGAGAATGAGAAGTTCTGCTGAATGCTGACGGTTGCGAGTCCGAGAGCCTAATCAGGTGTCGGTGACACGTGGTTTAGATGGGTGGTCACTGGGGTGTCTAGAGCCTAGTTAGGTGTCATCGACACAGGGTTTAGATGGGTGGTCACTGGGGTGTCTCTAGGCCATTCCCAAAGGGGGGACATTTCTTGTTCTAATGCGCAGTAAAGTTGTAAATGGGCTGATCCAACAGTGTCACGCTCATAACTGTGCATGAACTACAACAGGGAACTGCTGCTTTTTCTTTCCTAATCCTTACTATCATCGTTTTCTTCTGCTTCTTTTGTGACACACTCTTGTGATCCGCTATTGTTGGGGTGCCTTGATAATCGAAGCGGACTTTGTGCTGTTAAAGTAAGAAAGGTGAGCAGAGTAAGCCCGATTACCTGTAAGGACTTCTCTGTTGATATCCACCCCTTGGCGCTCATATGACTTTATGCAGTTGCGAGCGCCGTAAAAGCCTCTATTAAAAAAACAAAAAAATTTTTCCCCAAGGGGATCGATTAAGTGCAATTGATTAATTATTTATTTAATTATTGTTTATTATTCATCATTATACTAGGCTACCGATGCCTCGTTCTAACGTTGTACTTCCTGTCTCTGTCTAGCAAACTTCGTTGACCGCTCGGCTGACTGGGAGGCCGCCCTACAGATGTACCGGGGCATGTTCCTCATCATCTTTGACCTTTTCCTCCTGGGGGTCAACACCTACGGCTGGAGGTCATCGGGGGTCAATCACGTGCTCATCTTTGAAATCGATCCTCGTAATCATCTGTCGCACGCTCAGCTTTTGGAGGTAGGTTTCTTCTCCGCTTTCTCTTCTCCTCCTCAGAATCTGGGATTTTTTTCTTTCCCTGGCTTCTCAATAATAATGTTGTGCTCCTAATTTTTTAAAAACCTTCTTCAACACACAGGCTCATGCATGGATGTGTCATGCAAACATGCACACATATTTGCATTTGTACTCTGAAAGCTGAAGCTGAGGTCTTGTTTCTTTTAGTAGAGGTTTAACGGCGCTCGCAACTGTATAAAGTCATATGAGCGCCAGAAGATTAGAGGTGTTACAAGAGAGTAACAAACTTAAAAAAGAAAAAGGGGAGATAAAGACGATACATGTTTGATAGGAAACAAAAAGCAGACCGCACCAGAGCACCCGCCAACCACCCACAGCTGAGGTCTGATTTGTTTGCAGTCGGTTGATGGGCAATAATAATAGATAGAACTAAGCATTTGTATAGCACATATGAAGAAATCCACACTCAACAGCGAGCTCTATCCACTTTACAGTCTATATTCTATATTTATTGTTACCCAAGCAGGTCCGAGAACGCTCAGAAACATTCTTGGCTTTGGGGGGGGGGGGAGGGGGGGGAGGAGAGGGGCGGCTTCTGAAGGCTATTTTGCTTATTAGTGGACCAAATGAATGTTACCAAATTTCACACATATAACAAGCATAGTAAGGAGTCTTATAATCCACAATCAAATTTGAGAGAAAAAATTCATTTCCATGGATACGGCGGCTATATTGGATTTTGTTGACATGTCTTGCGTAATTAATACCGCACTTATTTTTCATGGAAATAAATAATTTTTTTGCATGCATCTTGGCAGACAATAGATCTACAAACTTCTGCGAGGAATTTTGTCTAAACTTCACTAGAAAATTTTTAATGAATTATTTTCTGATGTAGTATTCATGTTTGCAAAAAATCTGTGAAAATCCACACTCCAAACATCACCAACAAAAATCTATTTCATACATCGAAAATTCTTCACAGAAATTTTTAGTATTACATCTTTTCTTCATTCTGTGAAAATTTCATGAAGATTGGATGAAAAATAGTCGAGTTTTCAAAAAAGTATATAAAAAAAAACATGTTTCGAAAAAACGGGCAATAAAGAAAAATAAAAGATCGACTTTATGAGAAAATTGTGGTGACAAACATGCCCGGTATGGGAAGAAATAAGACTTTTGGGTGTTCTTACGCAATGAAATAGTTGTAAGAGAGGCTGAAGAAGCTAAAAATGCCTACAACTTAAAATCCATAGTTTTGAGCCGAATCAGGACTTTCGGGGCCCCCCCCCGCCAATCCCCCTTAAAAAAAACCTGAACCTTTTTCTTTTCGAATCTTTTCCAGCTTGCTTCTTTCCTGGGAGTGATCTGGGCATTCAGCGTGCTGGCGTACCTGTACAGCGAGTTTATCGGGTTACCTCCCATGTCCATGCCCCTGGCTCTGGCTGGCTTCCTCATCCTCGCGCTGATCAACCCACTCAAGTTCTTCTACTACCGCGCCCGCATGTGGCTGCTCCGCATTCTGGTGAGTGCTTCTGTAAGCGACGACCGCTACTACTGCTAGTGCTGGTGTAAGGGACGACCGCTTCTACTAGTGCTACTGCTACTGCTTCTTATGCTGCTACTACTGCTACTGCTACTATTACTTTTACTGCTACTGCTACTATTACTGCTACTTTTATTGCTACTGCTGCGACTACTACTACTACCACTACTACTACCACTACTACTACTACTACTACTGCTGCTACTGATACTGTTTAATTACTACTACTCCTAAAACTACCACTGCCACCACTACCACTTCTACTACTACTACTACTACTACTACTACTACTGCTGCTGCTACTGAGACTATTTCTACTACTTGTACTGCTACTACTGCTGCTACTACCACTACTAGTAGTAATAATAGTGGACTGCACAGTTTGTGCACGACATCGGACTGACTGTCTAGCTGCTGTCATCGAGAAAGTGGAAGAAGAAGAAGAAGTAGTAAAAATGATAATGATAATGATAATAATAATATTAGTAATAATAATATGTGTCGAGATGCGAAGGAATCAGATGCTTGTAAATTTTTGGGCATATAGAGTTATAGATGTCAACTTGAAGCAGGTTCATTTTCCTTTCGACTGGTTTCAGAGGTAAATTTAGCGAGGAAATGACCGCCAAAGTTTGGTGATTTCCAAAGCTTGAGTGGCCGTGGAACCTGTAAATTTACATTTTGTATGTCTTTTTATTAACATTTTGCAGTAAAGTCCACACTGTAATCATTACTTATTCACAGCAAAGGTGTTTAGCCAAAAAACAACCTACAACCTCCCCCCCTTCAAAATTGCCTAACGGATGGAAAAATGTTTTGTAAAATTTCATTATTTCACCAATATAATGATAAATAATAAATAGCATTTGTATAACGCATATCCCCACTCGAAAGCAAGCTCTACGCGCTTTACACTATATTAGTACCCCAGCAGACCATAGAACACTCAGAAACATTCTCAGCTTCCTGGGAAGCATACAGTGCAAGCAGCTGGTTAAGCGCTCAAATACTAACAAACTGACAAAATCTTTCACTGTCTATAGATGGGTACCCATTCCCACCTGGGTGAAGTGAGGAAAATTCATGTAAAGTGCCTTTCCCAAGGACACAACGTCGGGCCCGCGGCTCGAACCCCGGAACCTGCAACCTCACGATTATGAGTCCCGTAGCCTAACCACTTGGCCACCAATGCCTCACAAATGATTGTCCATTGTCGTTGTGTCGTTCCAGTACCGCATCTTCACGGCACCGTTCCACCACGTGGGGTTCGCCGACTTCTGGCTGGCGGACCAGCTCAACAGCCTGGCCACGGTGCTGCTGGACTTTGAGTTCCTCATCTGCTTCTACGCCTTCGAGGTGGACTGGCTCGGGGAAAACCGTGAGTGCCTGATTGTTTCCTTCTCTCCTCCCCTTCCCTCCTCGCCTCCCCTCCACCCCTGTTAAGTCTTATTTTTCATAGTTACATGTTTCCCGGCTAATAATTTGGCATACTGAGATTTTATTCATATTGTGATTTCATCCCCAATACCCAGATTCTTGCATGCAGGTGGTTTTCTCCTTCTTTCCTGTCAAACATCTCTCGTCCTTATATCCCCTCCTTCTTTTGTGTCTTTCTTACGCCGTTTGCAACACCTCTAATCCTATGCACTCTTATGACCTTGTTGTGTTGCAAGTGCCGTAAAACTCTTACTAAAAAAAAAAACGAAAAAGATTCTTAAACATTTTCTTCTCCTCTTCCCTCATGTGCCGTGTTCCCCATGTGCCGTGTTCCTCATGTGCCGTGTACAGGCAAGGCTGTGTGCAATAGGAACATCTACGGCATCCGCGCCATCATCACCTGCCTTCCCGCCTGGTTCCGCTTCGCCCAGTGTCTGCGGCGTTACCGCGACACCAAGCTCAAGTTCCCGCACATCGTGAATGCTGGGAAGTACTCCACCACCTTCTTCGTCGTCCTCTTCTCCACACTCTACAAGATCCAAGTCGGTGAGTCAGGCCCC